TACTGTTGATGCACTTAAAAAAAAGTAAGTGCTCAGCTGGCCGGACCACTGCCCAAGCTAATATAACACATTTGTGCTCCTAAAGAAGTAACAAGTTCAGAGGACGTAACATAAGCTGTGAGTTTCTTTTACTGAATGTTGGGTCCGTTAGCATTGCCGTAGCCTAGTCCTGCTAAAAATAATTGCCTGGGTTTGAGCCGACAAGGCTTGAACAACTGTTTGGTGCTCGTAGGGTAGTGCTGCCAGACAGGGTCCTGCTACTGCTTTTTTTGGGAGGAACGAGAGGGTCATAGTAGAAATTAGGAACCTTTTTCCTCCATGGCCTGATCCGGAGCCTGTGTGTAAATTCTTAATTACTACAGCTCAAAGGTATTTCCTAGACTTGACAAAACTTAGGCCTGAGAACACAAAACTTTGGCATGTGAAGTGCGAGCGCAGTGTCTTTTGGGGTGGGTGCACTTTATGTGGAAGGGTGGGGAAGGCTGTGGTCTTCTTCCAGACTTATTTCTTGAGTCACTTGGGAGAGCGCAAAGGGGTTTGAGTCACATGCCAGCCAGCGCTTTAGCCCAGACGGTAATCTGGGAAGCGCCAAACCATATTTAAAACTGACAACTCACATTTCTTAAAAGTAATAGGAAGATGGAAAGGCCATGGTTTTAGTACTGTCACTGATCGCTGCTTCAAAATTGTGGTGGTTTGGAGAAGTTTTGCAGGTAGAAAATATATTCAGTTTGCGTACAGGTAAGGATCTAAGTACAGCTTGGTATTTGCAGTGAGTTGGCACTGCTGCCCAGGTTGAGGGTTGAAGTGTTCGATTTAGCCCTAATTATTCGCTTTTGCAGCTGCTTCCTAAACCTTCTTCTGCACCAATAGCTACCCTAGAGACTCTTACAATAGAGGGCACTTATCTGATATTTCTGCAGATGTTTATGCTTGCTTTCTTCTGTTTGTCAAATGTTCATGAGATGACTATGAAGAGAGGGAATGGAGAGTTGATGTTTTTCACTGGTATTGATTAGGGTGAGACTCTAGTAATGTGTATTTAAGGTAATTGTAAAGTGTTGACTTCGCTTATGTTCATGTTGTCTTACTGCTGTATTTGCAGCGATATTTTCTGCATGCTCTAATCGGTAGGAGATAAGCCAGATGCCACGTGCTGTATGATAGAACATATTTATACAAATAATAGCCCTTTCAAATAACTTCTCCATTAGTTTTGAGCCCTATAGCAATGGAACGACTTCACAGAAAAAGTTTTGCCTGTGATGTGAATTCTAATCATATGAGGAGAAGCAGCAGAAATTAAAGAAATGCCGAGTGAAGAGCTGGTGTATCAGCACTATGGCTCTACTTTCCTCTTTTGTTTTTGAGATGTGTGTGCAGATAGTTGTTCTCTAATAACTTGTTCCTTTTTCAGTTTGTCATAATGCATGCTCATGTTTACATGGACATGTCTGCATTTCAGACTTTGATACCAAGTCTGGAAAGTGCACCAGAAATCAGGGACGTTGCCTTCAACCACTCTGCAGATTGATTTGGCTCTTATGCTTTAGCATTTTCAGCTTGGTGTTGCTTTATATGCTAGACGAGGTTTATGGCAGCCTAATTGGTTGCTGGCATTTCTGAAAAAAAAATTCCTGAATTTCACAGCTGCTGTATTCAGCTGTGTACTAGAAAAATATAATGGAATACTGTTTGCAGAGAGCAAGAGGCAATTGTAAAGATGTAAATGTGCTTTCTGGCACTTCAATAACATGTAAACTTTTGGTAACACAAAGAATTTTTAGGAACAAATTGTATGGGTACATTGCCAGTTTAAACATTATAGTATACATTTTCTATTTAAGCTCAGAATATTTGGAAGATGGACATAAGTTTTATTTTTGTTAGGTTTTTTTTTTTTTTATTCAGTCCTGACTTTCTTGGCCAGGGAATGGATGAAGTCTGGCACAGAGATGGAAGATTTATTGTGATTCTTTTGTTACAGCATGCTGGCTTACTGTGTTTGTGAGAGTGCTCAGTATTTTCTATTCATTCATCAGCCTGCTTTGATCTCCTTTCACTAGTTATGGCACAGATTAAACCTTTTTTAATTATTATTCGTTCTCTGTCAAAAGTAATAGAGCACAGAAGCAGGTAATAGGACTTACATGATGGCTCTGTGACTAATAGAGTGTCACAGGTTTCAGCTGTGAACAGTGCTTTTCTTAAAAATTTATAAAATCTGGTAACATACTAAAGTTTATTATAATATTGTATAAAATATGATTTCTAAATGGACGTTTTTCAAAGATCATTTTTCTCTTGATGCTGGACTGACAGCTGGGCCAAGCCTTAAAAGAGTAGCAGGAGATTATACCGATGTATGAGCTTGAGTCTTCCAGTTCCCACAGTTTCTGTGCCCTTGTGGTCCCAGCACGCTTGTTGTGGAAGTGGCAGGAGTGGCACTGCTGCAGGAAGACAGTGGCTTCTGTTGCTACTTTGGTGATGGACCAGGTAGCTAAATGAAACAGTACTACAACAGGGCACAAAATTCATAGAATCACAGAATGGTTTAGGTTGGAAGGGACCATGAAGATCATAGAGTTCCACCCCCCCTGCCATAGGCAAGGACACCTCCCACCAGACCAGGACACTCAAAGCCCCATCCAGCCTGGC